CTCTCTCTCTCTCTCTCTCTCTCTCTCTCTCTCTCTCTCTCTCTCTCTCTCTCTCTCTCTCTCTCGCTCTCTCTCTCTCTCTCGCTCTCGCTCTCTCTCTCTCTCTCTCTCTCTCTCTCTCTCTCTCTCTCTCTCTCTCCTTTTCTTTCTCTCTCGCTCTCGCTATTTGTCTGCCTCTGCCGCACACGCTCTATAGGTTATTGATCGATGTAACCTCTAGAGGTTTTCCGCAGACGAGACAATAAGCATTTAATTATTAATTACTTCTCCCGGACGCCAAATAATTATCTTCGTCTCTATAGGTAACTACTCCAGCATCCATATATTTCACGCATGATTTCCTGTGTATATAGACGGGCAGGCGCACGTTCCTCTGCCCCATCACGCATTAGCATCTATAGCTATAATACTATAGATTATTTGCACTGCAAGTGATGACCACGTATAGAGCTCACCCTCGACCAGCTTGCGAAGGCTGCTTCTCATCACGTGCAGGTTGCCGATTCCCAGGAAGACGAACTTGATGTCGGAATAGAAGCTCTCGTTCTCGTAGCCCTTCCCCGCCACCTTATTGGCCAGCGCGTTGATCTGCGGGACAAGCAAATGCCACGTGACACCCAGACGTCGTCGCCGTTTAGCCGTCGTTGTTGACGCGGCGAAAACCAATCCAATTTGCCTCGTGTTACGCCTTCGTGCCATATTCTATTACGCCGCGTGTAAGTTGTGAATAGACGCCATTACTTATGCATGCGGCAAAGAACGCGTGGAATGCCCTGAAGAGATATATATATATATATATATATATATATATATATATAGGGTGTATGTCGGCGTCGGCCATAAAATTGATAGGTTTAGGCGGCAATGATGTGCAAGAGGAAAGAGCCAATGTTAAATGATATAAGATACATTGAGGTACTTATCGGGTGTCGACTAATGATGGAGACATACATTGGATGGGTGTAAACCACGTATATGAAGGTGGGGGTAGTGTTGAGGCATACCTTTGGGCGAGTGTCAACCATTAATAAAGGTAGTGTTGTGACATACCTTTGGGCGAGTGTCAACCACGTATAGGAAGGCGGAGGTAGGGTTTTGCTGCCGTATGAGATTCAACAATTGTTCATCCTCCTGACAGCGAGCGCTGAAGCCAGAGAGAGGCTGACTGCAGCGTGTGATCGTAGCCTATAGCGAGAGAGCAGACGATGACCGAGTACGCAGCGCCATCTACAGATAAGCAACCACAACTGCACGCATAGCGAGCTAGCGACGAGTATATATGTATGTATATATATATATATATATATATATATATATATATATATATATATATATATATATATATATATATATATATATAGCGCATTTTAACAAATGAAAATCATTATCGTATAATTCTATTTTCTTAGCGATTTCAGGATAGATTTCCACCAGTGGATGGCACATCTAAGGTCACACACCCGAACATTGACGCAAACTCGTGCTAGCAACCGCTCGCGTTGTCTTCACTAACACTTCAGCAACAATTATATCTCCACGAATGCATGTATCAACAAAATACGAAAATGCTGAAGTCTACACCAACGAGATCGAGACACTACCAAGGTAGTAGGCCCTGTTCTCGCCAGGTAACACTATTGCCATCACTCACCTGCGTCTCCTTGTGATAGTAGCAGAGTACGGGCAGACGCCCTCTACTGCGGAACATAGAGCTCGCCACCAGCATGGGAGTGGTAGCCCCACGGGGAACAACAATGCACTTCGGATATGTATCACAGAGCTGGAGAAAGAGAAGGATATATATCACAGAGCTGGAGAAAGAGAAGGATAATATGTATCGCAGAGCTGGAGAAAGAGAAGGATATGTATCACAGAGCTGGAGAAAGAGAAGGATGGATACACATCACAGAGCTAGAGAAAAAGAAAAGAGAGGATGATGGAGATTTATCTAGATAAGATGGCGGGCCGGATGCCGTATTGGTCGGCGGGGCGAACTCTAGCTCTCGATTGGGGTGTTGGTCGAGCCTTGCCTGTGTATAGACTAGATATCAGCCTCTTGCTCGATGCATTTCGAAACGTTGCAATGATGCCACCGACTCGCGATAAGAATGCTGCTGTGGTCTATCGCAGCAGAATAAAGATCAAGACACGAAGCAATATATGTAATTAAATTGTCTCGACGCAAGTGTGTTAGCGAATCTTTACAAAAAGAAAGAGAGGGGGAAGAACTTCAAAGTCCAGGGGGTAGATTCATGATTCATCAAGCTGCGTACGCAAAATATTTTGCGTAAATCTTGTGTACGCAATCGACGTTGCTTAGTTGCGATTCATCAACACAGCTATTTAGTAAATTTTCGTACGATTTCGCGTACGCAAGCGAGGCCGTTTTATGTGCGATTCATCAAGCTAAAATTTACGTAAACCTTTGCGTAACTGATGAACGAGCTGACGAGGTGCCGTAAACCACTCGAAATTTCCGCAGGTGTTTCCAGCATACCGCAGCATGCATTATTTTATTGAGAAAACATTATAAAATTACTACTCAACTAAAAATAAATAAATAATTACCATACTACACAGACAGGCGGCGCCTTTGACGCTTTTTTGTCATAGCTTGGCATTGTTTTCGTTATAAGCGAGTTCGTAGTTAGCCGTGTACGTGCACACGCCGTGCGCACTTGTACGTGCACACGCCGTGCGCACTTGTACGTGCACACGCCGTGCGCACTTGTACGTGCACACGCACTCACTTGTACGTACACACAAGCACGCACGTGTACGTACGCATGCACGCACGCCCGTGTACGTACGCAAGCACGCACGTGTGCGTGCACACGCACGCACGCACGCACGCGTACGTGTCGCTGCTTTCATCGAGTGTTGAACACAATCATACAAACGAAAATGAGGACAACTATCACATCCCCCAGCACTCCTGTAGACAGCTAGAGTTATATGGTTTACATACAAGAGAGGCGTCAGTTTGGTTCCTATGGTATGTGTCGCACAGTGTGATTGGTTTATGCTAGGCACGCCCCTCAACAGCCAGCAGCTACGATGGCGTAGTGGATTTACACCGGAATTCATCAACATTTGCGTACGCAGGTGCTACGCTGCGTTAATGAATTGCACCTACGAGCTTTGCGTACGTACTTCGTAGAAACTCTGTGTACGCAATACACTTTGCGCAACGTTGATGAATCCGGCCCCAGGGGCCCGCCTTAGTGCCCCTGGTGGGGTCCAGGGGCAGAGCCCCTGGCAGGGGTCCGGGGAAGCTCTCATGCAGAGTTTAGCTAATCAAAGCACTCAAATTGCTGACAAAAAAATTGTGCAGGGAACCAAGGAGCAACATATACCAAGGAGATGAAACCCCGGAAGATAGATAGATAGATAGATAGCTAGATAGCTAGCTAGATAGATAGATAGAGAGAGAGAGACGGAAAGATAGATAGAGAGAGTGCGTGCGCGCTTGGTGGCAATTTTTTTTGCACTGACGACTGGATTCAACTGTCCTTAGCGTCTCCTTCAAGGACACGGATAATATGTGCGTCAGCTGGCTTCGATCTTCTTGTAATTGTTTACGATTGAAATACAGATTAAACCGAATGGAAACTAAAAGCATTGAATGCATTTTAACGCGATATGAGTGTGTGTGTGTGTGTGTGTGTGTGTGTGTGTGTGTGTGTGTGTGTGTGTGTGTGTGTGTGTGTGTGTGTGTGTGTGTTCGTGTGTTGCGTTCGTGTGTGTGCGCGAGGCCGTAATTTAATCAGTGAAGTTTCGGTTTGTTTACAGACGAGACTATTTGCTCAATCATTCCACCACTAAGAAATGATTTGGCGGGACCTCCAAGCGGCCCGATAGTCCAACAAAAAATACCAATTCCATTAGCTATTAGTTATGATAATTGAGATCTGTCCGTCCTCGCCATCATCGCCGTCTGCATGAATTATCGCATTGAGTGTCAACATTTCTCACGATTTGTTATCATAATTGTCACTGCCAGGGGATATACTTGTCACGAATTCTACGCGGCTATAGCTGTGACCGTTAGAAGGTCGACGGGTCATCTGTGATATAATTGAGGTGAACTGGTGCTGTTCTATTTGCATCGTTAAAGTGATTTGTCATTGGTTCTGTTCATCGTGTGATTTATTCCTAACGGTGATATTTTAAACTGTCAGCTATTTCGTTGCGTAACATTAATTCAACCGACAGTATAAAAGACGTTGTGACTGTCAGCACCCTCTACGGACGTATTCAATCATCTGTGATTTTCCTCACGAGGGATTCTACAATTGCTGCGCGGTGGCTCTTGGGCTTTACTAGCTTTGACTGTGATTCACGTCGCATGCCTGCACCCCTAGGACCCATGTCTTCCAACAATTGAGCTGTTAACTCAGACTTCGAGCGGTCGATGCGCACCGTCGTTAGCACTTCACTTAAAATGGCAGACCGCACAGTTCTGGGTCGCCATACAAGAGTCGAATTTTAAAACGTGACTACAATGAAAATCGAATAAGATAATCGAACGAAATTAGATTCGAGGAGTTTTGAGGAGTGAAAATTCCCACACATATTCCTGAAAAGCCCTCCCCCACTAAACATTGTGTCTGTTTGACCAAACCCGCATCAGGTCAAAGGTGACTTGTTACAACTCTTTTTACCACTGCAAACAAGGACACCCCCAGCAGACAGCTCGCTGTGGGACTTACTTCGTAGGTGGCGTTGATGTTGCTGGTGCACCAGCCACCGCTAGAGATGGCCTGCATGCGTTCGTACTCCCTCTCCGCATCGTACAGCGTCCAGCCGGTGCCCTGAACGAGCGTATCCGCGGAGGGACTGTAGTAGAACGCGTGAAGCTCATCCAGGTTCATGGGCCTCGATAACTCCTGCAGGGTCATGTAGACGTCCTGCGAGAAGGCGTTGTTATTGAACACCGCGAGGCGTTATTGTAAAACACGTGGACAGAAGCTATCACAAAACACGACACACAAAATCTGCTACATTGCTTACAACACATGGCGAGATGTTTCAATGGAATTCGGGAAAACGTTGTTATTGAACACTGCGAGGCGTTATTGAAAACACGTAGAAACAAGCTATCACAAAACACGACACAAAAAATCTGCTACATTAACACACGTGACGAGACGTTTCAATGGAAATCGAGAATGCGTTGTCATTTAACGTCGCAAGACGTTATCATTGTTATTATGAAACACAACAATACGCTACAGTTAAACACTGGATGTGTTTTTATTGATCACAACGAGACACCAGTGCTACATACAACGGGGTGGCAACATTAGATATCGCGATGTATCATTGTACAGCATTATAATTTGTTATTATTATATTAAAGCACATCAACCGTTACCAATCAACACCGCCCGATGTCACCATTAAACGATATGATGTACTAACTTTTGACAACTATTGAATACCATGAAATGATACCCGGAAGCAGCACCAACTATGATAATTAAACACCATGACGATACATAACTAAACACCGCGTTGGTCCACCGCAAATCCCCTCTAAGCTGTCACCATTATTCACCATAAAGTTTCACAAATAGCCATTTCACCACGAAGCGCTGCAAATAGGCATCATAACGTGCCCCCACAAAGCCCTATATTGCCTCGGATAGGTTGTCTGTCTTTCAAAGTAACGCATGCCTGTGCATTATACGCACACAATGCATATACTGCTATATATCACTGCTAAACCCCTACAGATATCACACCCTTAACATTACCGTGACGGGATATAGTTACTAGAGCCAGGCCAGAGTTGCCTGAGTGGGATATGTTGGGGACTGCGGGCGACGGCGGTCGTAGGTGAGAAGCGAGAGATGCCCCCTCCTCGGCTTTCTTCCGTGACTGAATAATAATATCGCCGCTAGAACACGGACGCTTATATCGTCGTAGCGGTATTGCTGGGTTATTTCTCGATGTTTTCGCGGTAGTACGACCGTTCACACGAACCTGTAAGGACCTGCATCGCGCCACCATTCCGATCCAACAATAGCTAACGTGAATGTTAATTAATAGTAACAGGTATGTGAGCTACCTCACCTGGCAATCTCGCTCCCGCGGTACGATCAGGGTGACACACTGGAAGGTCTTGCACTGTATGTAAAGAGGAGAACCTATCGTTGTCATCTGCAATCGCTCCAGAGACTCTATGTGCATGTGGAGAATCTGCGAACGCAAACAAAACAGAAATATCGTCAGACAATAGTCTATAGCAGTCGAACGATCGGAAAAACGGCGCGATATTTTCGCTCGGTGTTTCTCGTGAATGTAATAACTGCGTTGTCGTTATAGACGGAGGAAACGGGGAATCTCTCCCCCCCTCTCTCTCTCTCTCTCGTTCTCTCTCTCTCTCTCTCTATCTATCTATCTCTCTCTCGCTTTCCTCTCGCTCGCTGACTCTCCCCCCTCTCTCTCTCGTTCGCGCGCCCTCTCTTTCTCTCTCGCTCTCTTTCTCCCCCCCTCTCTCTCTCGGGGAAGGGGGAGGCTATGATGCATGTTTGGGGGGGGGGGCGTGTAGCTCAGACGACTCAGTCTGTCCTATTGTGTATACGATGTGATCTATTCTTACTAGGTTTTTCTGGAGCATTCCACGATATAAATATATATATACTATAGTATATAATATAAGTAATATATACTAATATATAATAGTTGAAACAGCCAATTTTATTAGAGTGGATTATAAGTGGCGTCCATACAGCGTATGAAGAATGTTAGACGGAGTAAATTGTATCCCCTCAAATGATCATACCTATGATGCATTTAATTACAACACTCGGTGGTTCCAATACAAGTGACGTTGATTTCCCCAATGTTTTATAATGTTAGTAATGTTTTCATTACGAACCAGCATCCCTGAAACAACGGCTCATCGGAATAATTCTGCCTTGTAATTTTGTGGGCCTTACCCGTACATATACCAGCTGGAATAACTTGAGAATTTTAATTATCCAAAAATTCGATGAAACTCAAACAATCTACATGACAAGATACCAACATTGCTACACTCCCCGTGCATTAGCCGTCCGTCCATCTTGCTGCTGCCAACTTAAATTCACTCTAAAACGCAATATCTCTGCATTCACGCTATAATTAATGAATGCTTCATCGGGGACCCAGAGGGGAGCAACGTGCAAATGTCAATGTTATTTAATTATTTATCAGTGATAATGACATGGAGGGGGAATGAACGATCGGCTACCTCTGGGAAACAGTTCATTAGAACAGGGCACGGTTATCGTGCACACGTACGCGTGAGTCTGTCTGTCTGACGTGCATACAGCAGTCTACATCGGCAATGCTACACTGGTCTAAATAGAAAGGGTAGCAGAAAAGGGAACGAGTAAGAAGCGAGAGAAGAGCGAGGAGAGAGAGAGAGAGAGAGTAGTTTCTATAGATACTCCACTAGCCGTATATCACTATACCGGTGTTAAAGAGCCGCGGTAATAGAGAGATTAAGTCCATGAATAAATATTAAGTACCCCAAACGACCCTTAGCCAATATTATAATACCGAGAATAGTCGACCATGGTTCATGTATTTTTCAAAGTGACGGATAAACGGAATGATAAAAGGCCAACAGTAGGCATAATAATAATAATACAATAATATTTCTACGAAATACGGAGCAAAACAAAACTAGAAAACCGCCACTCAGAGGGTAATTACTGTTACATGGTAGCAGTAATAGCAATAATTGCATATACTGCCTACTGAATATTCAAATTAAACTGAAATCACGGGAATTGCAGATTTACGATGAAAACGATTATGATTGGATGAGACAGTGCGGCCGTAACTCTTCCCAACCGGCACCACAGAGTATGTACGTGAATATCACGTTCCCTAATCACGCTACACGCGCTCTCAAGTTAAGCCAGCAACATTGCTAAATAATTATATAAAAACAATCTTATGCGAAGACATTATTCATAATTTGCACGTAGAAAATGTGTCATTAGCGAACGTGCTAACGAGCACGATAGTCAAGTTCCGCGATTTCGCGTTCATGTTCGATGGCTGTCGACTTGACTTAATCTAATTAACGTGTGGTACCGAGACGCGTTCATTTTCGGTGTTTCTGTTCGATCTGTGTGCGCTCTCTCTTTCTCTCTGTATGTGGTGTTGTGTGGTGTGTGTGTGTGTGGTGGTGTGTGTGTGTGTGTGTGTGTGTGTGTGTGTGTGTTCCGTGCGTGCGTGCGTGTGTGGCGTGTATGTGTGTGTGTTGGGAGTGTGTGTTGTGTGGTGTGTGTTTATGTGTGTGTTGTGTGTGTGTGTGTTGTGTGTGTGTTTGTTTTTGTGTGTGGTGTGGTTGTGGGTGTGTGTCGTGTCGTGTGTGTGTGTGTGTGTGTGTGTGTGCAGGGGCGTAGATAGCGGCGGGGGATGGGGGGATGCATCCCCCCACATTATTGACGTGGGGGGGATGGCGTTACAAATCATCCCCCCTACTTTCAGGAGAAAAATGGGGGATTCAAAATTTTGGGGGAGACCCGCATACCCCCGCATGTTTCTTACCACCTCTCTCGAAATCCCTGCATTGGCCACTGTCGAGCGTAACAAATTTAGCACCCCCACTTCAAAAATCGTTCCGCGGCGCATGTAGAGTACTGCTAACAAAGATTATGATTATGAATATTTGTATGCATATCAAAATCAAATTTGAGTTCCTCTGACAGGGGCGTAGATAGCGGGGGATGGGGGTATACCCCCTCCCCACACTGAGGTGGGGTGGCTTTCATCACCCCTACATCAGGAAGAAAATGGAAAAATTTAATATTTTTACCAGACAATAAATACTGGATATTTATCTACAAATCCGTCATCGCGCTATTCATACTCTCCTAATGTATTATTACAGAAAGTATTCGTTCCAAGGAATGACATTATTTTACTGAAGCTCAGACGTGTTAATTTTGGACGCATTCCCATGCATATACGATTTTTTCAAAAATCCCCAAATCACGTCTTATCACTGCTCACGAAAGTTAAATCCTTGCTTATCAAAAATTAGAATAGACCTATTGAGAGTTGGGATATTGAATTTTCAGGGGGTTGAATGGGAAAAGTCCAATTTCATCTCATCTTTGGGGAGGGGGGAGTGGGGTGCTGAGACCCGACAGGAAAGTATATCTCCGATTTGTATAAGGGGTGAAAAATATGCACGATTGTTCAAATTCTGGTTGTTTTCGACATATCCTTTGCAGTTTTAAGTGTTTCTCACTTACTGCAGTAAATATATCGTTTTATCAAAATTTCAGGGGGATGATGATCCAGTGCTGTAGTATGTCAACCGGGGGGTCAGTAGCACAGGGGACGGTCCCCCCCTAGAATTTTCAGGTAAAGGTATTTTAGCCTAGGTAAGTCTCGCACTGGCAACCCCAGTACAGCACAGATTTGGGTAAGTACATTTTAGTCTTTGTGTCTCCAAAGTAAAATACTCCAACTCAACAGTGATGTTTATTGTGATGAAGATTGTTTAATAGTGCTGCCTCAAAGTGCAGAAATTGCATCGAGAGGTGTTACTTTCAACAAAATTTCGCGGAGTCCCCGACCCCCTAAACAGGAGGGGACACCCCCTAAAGGAGGAAAAATCCTGATATTCTATGTAAAAGATGTCCAAATTGATTGCTTTAGATTGCAACTTTTAACAATTCCACACAGTGCGCCGCTTCGTGCCCTTGAGCTCGCATGATTCGCCCCCCCCCTCAGAATTCACTTCTGGATCCGCCACTGGTTGTGTGTGTGGGGGGGGGGTGCGTGTTATTAAACCTGGGATCCAAAGAAAAAAATTACCCTCGAATTCACAAATTGCACTTACAATATATCAATTTTTTTCAATTACCTCAAACGACAATCTTGAAGGTTTAAATTGCTAAAATCCAAAGCTTCCGGGGCTGCCGCCCCTGGACCCCCGGCAAGGGCTCTTCCCTGCACCCCGCCAGGGCCCCTAGGGCGGGCCCCTGACCCCACCCATTAAGGCCTTTGCGCCAAGGCGCTCGCGGTGTGCCGCTACTCGCGACCCTCTTCATATACATTATGATGGAAGTAACAGCGAAATCATCCCCCCCACAACTGAGAACCTGTCTACGCCACTGTGTGTGTGTGTGTGTGTGCGTGCGTGTGTGTGTGTGTGTGTGTGTGTGTGTGTGTGTGTGTGTGTGTGTGTGTGTGTGTGTGTGCGTCCATGCGCGTGTGCGTGTGTATATGTGTGTTTGTGTGTTTACCGTGATCAAATAATGTGACGATGAAGCTCTCTGCTTGTTGACAACCCGTCAGCGCTGCGGCACAGCTGCTGCTATACCTGTCTGATTATCGTATGCGCAACACACATCTCCGACCAATCCCGGGAGACGTAGCAGCGGCTGCTGGCGCTGCAGCCGCATTGTTACGTGTACAGGCAGGCCCTCGCACAATGACAGCCGTCAGCGTCGTCGAAGATCAATAATAAATCAGTGGCCCCTCACTGGTACGATAGAAAGGAAAGGGGCGGCAGGGGGATGGGGGGAACTAGTAGAGGAATGGAACTATAGGAGGTAGAGGAATGGGAAGACTGATGGAGGAGGGGAATGGAGGGGGGGGGCGTTGTGATGTAGGGAGAATGATCGGGCAGTTGCGTGCCGTTCGCGCGAGATATTTGTATGTGAAGTACTTTGCTCACTTTCTTTAAATTTTTAATCACGCTCCTTCTCCTCCTTCTCTCTATCTCACTCTCTCAGTCTCTGCCTCATTTTCGCTCTGTCCGTTTCAATATCTCTGATTTGCCCCATCATTGTCTTTCGCTCTTTTCTTTTAATATATAACTCGCTCTAGAGTCTAGGCTAAGAACAGCAGTAATTGTTATAGAGATAGGAATCGTATGTGGAAGATATATAGGCTGAGCTGTAACGCCCCTAGATGATAAAGCTAACGTGACAGTGAGGCACAGCTAGACCTGTTGTCGTTAGTTCACCACCTTCCTCAGTACGGGACCCAAGCGATTTGTAATATCTGCTTACCTCAGCATTAGGAGTACGGAGTCAGCGTTACGGATCAACGTTAAGTTGTTCTCTACCAAGCCTAACCCGAACCGCAGCCTTAAATAAAATTATAGCTCTAACCATAATTCTTATTATCCCCATATATTACCCCATATACCATACCATACCTATATACTATTTATACCCTAA